CCTCATTTGCTGCCCTGTGCCCTGCAGCAGCTCGGGAGGGCAACTCAATTTCAATTAGATTGCATTATATTGTGTTATCTTGCATTCCATTATCATAGATAGTAAAATAAATTTTCCTCCATAGTTTGTTGCCGCCGTTTTTTTCTTCCCTTTGTTCCTTCCCATTGTGGCCAAGGGGTGTGGGGGAGGGGGGTGGGGGGTAGGGGCCTACTGCCCCCTGTTACGGGTATGGATTGATGTAGTTAACTACGTGATATCTGTCCAGGTGCGGGAGAGCCCAGTGGCTTACTCTGCCCTTCCCAACGCGCTCAGTCACGGCAGCCCGCTCTGAGCGCAGCTCCCAGCTGCGGGGCTGGCGCTGGGGCAGCTGCAGCCCCCGCGGGATGAGCAAGCGACAGGCGGTTCCAAGGGCCATCGCAGCGCTGGGCAAGGGGACGTTTCTGCGGAGCTGTCTCGTCCGGACGCCCGTCCGCGCCCACGTCCCCAGAGGAGTCCAACGGCATTTTGCACGCAGCCGCACGTCCGCCGGCGGGGCCGTCAGCTTCGTGCCGTCGGTGCGGCGCGGCGTTGCTCAACTCCCGGGCACTGACGTCCCTGGAGTGCCGCAAGCGGGGGCAAAGGTGCCGTTCCTCCCCCCCGGCACTGCGGCCCGAGCCCCAGCGGGGACGGGGGCACGGAGCCAGGGACGCGGCGCTGCCCAGCGGGACCGGAGCCCGAGCGGGGCGGGGAGGGCGGCGGGGAGACGAGAGCCGAGCGGAGCGGCATAAAAGCCCCGCAGAGGCGGACACGAGGAGAGCCGAGGCACGGGGCCATGGAGCAGTACTTCTCGGCCACGCAGAAGATGGAGCAGGAGGTGATGTTCCCCAGCCTGCTGCGAGGGGTCTTCCCGCAGGATGGATCCGACCCAGCCGCCGGCGGCCCCGCGGATCTCTACGAGCGCTACCAGCTCCTCAAGGCCATCAAGCCCGTGGTGGAGCGAGGCCTGGCCTCCGTCACCGAGCGCGGCTTCGCCGGAGACTCCGACTCCAACTCCGACGCCGACGACGCCGCGGCCGCAGCCGACGGGGCGGACAGCAGTCTGGAGCAGCGGCTGTGCCACCACCTGGCCGGGCTGCAGCAGATCCTCAGCCACCTCACCAGGGACACCGCCGCCCTCACGCGCCGCTACAGCCAGATCCTGGAGCGGATCAGCCCCGGCGACGCGCAGCCCAGCTGGTGACCCCGCGTCCCCACGGGAAGAGCCGGCGGTGCCCCGCGGCGCTGCCCCTCTCCGTCCTCCGCTCCGTTCTCCGGCTTCGAACTCCCGCGCCGAGCTCGGACGGAGCCGCGCGGCGCCGGCGTCTTCGGGCTGGATCCCGGAGTCGCGCGGCGTTCCGCTCTCTTTGCTAATAAAAGGAACTCTCCGCAGCCGCCGTCCGCGCGATGCTTTCCCTGGCACGGAGCCGCCCGGGAACCGCCCGCACGGGGCGCGGAGGAGGGCGCGGACCCGCGGGACGGGCGGCCGCTGGGGGTGGCGGCGGGTGCGGGGGGCGGAGCGGCGCTGCCCGCGTCCCGAATGGAGCCGGGGGGGGCAGCGAGGACGTGGGGCGGCGGGAGCGACCTGGGATCCACGCTGGATCCCTGGCTCCGTGCCCAGCCGCACGGTGCTCACTAAGCACGTCCCTCAGTGCCACATCTCCGCGGCTCTTGAGCGAGGTGCTGAGTGAGGTCTCACCAGCACTCAGTGTGGAGCAGAGCCGTCCCTGTGCCGATGGCCTCGTGGTGCTGTGCCACGGGTCACAGGGGGACATCAGCTCCCACTGAGGTGAGGGGGAAGGAAGGCTGATGGCCTTTTTCCCTGCCCAGAGCTCAAGGACAGCCCCTGTATCACAAGACAGTGGTGGCAGGGAGGAGGGCTGCGGGCTCCTTGGGCTGTGCATCTGGCTCGGGCTGGAGAGGCTCAGGATGCCCAGGGATGTGTCACCTCCGGACATCCCGGTGCTCAGTACTGCTACTGAACATGGCTGATAAGAGCTGTGAGACGTTCCAGATCTGCTCTGTGACCTGGGATGAGCATCAGAGGTCCCTGGTAGACCGGCACAGTGTCCCCAGAGAAGTGTCACCCCAGGGTGGGATGTGGCTGATGAGAGACAGGTGGCCACGAGGCGGTCATTGTCCTCATATGGCCAACGCGGGTGGGAGGAGCAGGGACAGGCACAGCAGCGGTGGGAGCAGATGATCATCTGATGGTGCTGGAGGATCCAGCAGTGTGCACGTGAAGGCTGACACTGGGTCAGGGCTGGCGGTTTCTGGGCAGGACAGGGGGAGAGGCCCCACACACCTCCCCTCCTCAGCACCTCTCCCTGTGTGCCCAGGAACGTAGTGGCATCAAGGCCAGATGGGGCAAAGGCCATTGTGGGGTAAGCTGGGGACAAAGGCATAAAGCCAGGGACATAGCATAGCCAGCCCTAATGGGACCAGAGTCAAAGGCAGCCTATCAGGATGGAGCTGTGAAGAGAGCAGAGCTGCTCTGCTCCATGGGGATGGGCGTGCTGAGACTGCTGAGAAAGCAGAAGACTCTCTGCTGCTGTTCTCCCATTCCTCTATTCTTCCCTTGCTTTATTTTCTGCATCGCCTCCCGCAGTGCACCAGCACAGCCATCACACCACTGCTGACTTTTCTGTACTCAAGACCACAGCTTCAGTGTTTTCTTCAGGCTTTTCTATTTCCAGATTAGAACATTTAAACAGAATTGGAAGGGCTTTCACCTTCAGACATGATGAGCACCATGCAATGAAATTCCAGAGAGCTGGCAGATGCTCAGCATGACTGGAAACTTTTGAGTTCAGGATGCAGATTCAGAATCCACAGTGAGGAAGTAGAAACACCGGATCCTGATCACCAGGCAAAGAAAAGGCAGCAGTGAATGAACGTGAGCATGCAAAATATAGAGAGGGAACTGATTTCACACAGAATTCCTTTCACAGCATCACTTTGGCTACGGGGGATGGTCCAGAGCATGCTCAGTAGTCAGTAAAAATGACAAAGAAAAGCAGGAGCCTACATACCCACTTTCTGGGTTATTTTAAATGCGTACAAATCTACCATTTTCACGCTTAAAAATTGAGATAAGGAGTGAATCAGAGTTAACAGAAGAGTAAACACTCTGTATTTCATCATTAGCTTTTATTTAATGAGATTGAACGATGGTTTCCCTTCCAAGCATGGGCAGCTGAAAGGCCGTGGGCAGCCCCGTGGAGTTCTCAGCACAGTAACAGCTCAGCAGAAGCATCAGCGAACTGGATAGAAATCCTCCAGAAGCTCTCCTATTCTTTTCTTTTCTGCAAAAGGCAGCAAGTGGAGTCGGGAAAACCCTTATTGGACACTTGAGATCAATTCTGGTGTTGGTAAAACACCTGTTTGGCATTTGAGATCTATTCCTAAAGACCTCAGTATTGAAGTCATCACTATTATTCCTGTTTGAAGGGTTAATATGCCACCAACAACCATCTCCTGCTACCAACAGTCAACTTCAGGCTTGCTGCATAAACCCAGCATGCAATTTCTCTTCCGTAGGGCTGCATTTTGGGCTTTCTGGCAATTCTAATTATTCCTTTTCCCACCTGCTCTACTTATTTTCTGAATACTCATCACAACATCTTGCTATCCACATGCACTGCAGCCTTGAGACACTCAGGACATCACGAGGGACAGCACTCATTCAGCACACTGCGAGGGAACCACCTCTCCCTGGTGACCTGTCACTTCCAAAGGAAAAGCCTTTTGGTTACAGGTTACCAACCTGGTTCTTTAAAGTCTTCAGGGTGCCGCCTGACATAATCAAGCAGCTCTCTGTCCAGTTTAGCGTGGACATACTCAGTACGTTTAACAAGAAAATAGCCAGCAAACCATCCCACAGTAACAAACAGGATCTGGCGGTGAACACCTGCAACAGGGAGAAACCCCAAAGCAATGATTTGAAGTGTCATTTTCTCCCCACGTGTCCCTCATGGAGCACCCAGAATCTTCCCCACAAAACACCTCATTCCCCAACCTCTCAAATGCCTCCTCCTGGGTTCCCCACCATATCCCCCTCAGTCTCTCCCTGCTAAGTCACCCCATCCCTCACCTCAGTACCCCACTGAGTACCCCCAATATCCTACTTCTCAAAGCTTACCCCCAACCCCATGTCCCTCAGACTTTCCCTTACCACTCTCCAACATCCCTTTGATCCCCCCCAAATCTCGCCTCTCAGAACCACTATATCCCATATCCATATCCCTCACTTCAAGGCTCTCCCCATCCTCTGAATCTCCCCCAATCCCTCCATATCTTCAAGTCCTCCCAAAAAAACCCAAATCCCTCTCAGCTCTCTCAGACCATCCCCATAATGCTCACAGTAACCTCAGACCCCCCTCATATTCCCCTCACAGCTCTGATTCCCCCCACAACCCTCCCACAACCCTCTGAACAACCCCATGAATCTCAGCCCCCCCCATCCCTCACCTCAGTTCTCTACCCTTCCACGTTCCTTAAAGTCCCCTCAATCCCCCACATTTGCTCTCTCACCTCTGAGTTTCCCCACTGCCCATGTCTTTGAGTTCCCCAAATCCCTCACAAGTCCCCTCAGATCCCCACCACAACTTTCAGTCCCCCCACATTCCTCTGTGTCCCTCAGAATCCCCTCCAAATCCACCCCAGATCCACAAGTCCCCTAAAAACCCTCCCATATCACCTACTTCAGAGCTTTCAACACCCCATGTCCCTCAGTCTTCTCAGCTCCCTCCTTCTAAGCCACCAACCCCCTCGCCCCCCAACCCTCTGCATCCTCCCACATCCCCTCTCATTATCCCTCACCTCAGGGCTACCTACACCTCCATGTCCCTCAGACTCTCTTTAATTCCCCTAATATCCATCAAAACCCCCAAATTATCCCATACAGCCCCACTCCATCCTGCACCTCAGGGCCCTCCACCCCTCTAAGTCCCTCAGATTCCAATTAATCCCTCACAGTATCTCTCCAAGCCCCCCCAGATATCCCCACTATCTCTCACTCCAGGGTTTCCCCCCTGTTCATATCTCTCCAAGTCCCCAAATCCCTCACAAGAGGGATTTCTGACAGGAGGGACACAACCCGCAGTCCTCCCAGAATCCTCCACATCCCTCAGAATCCATTCCAAATGCCCCCCACATCCCTGAGTCCCCCCACCAAGATCTTCCCTTAGAGTTGCTCTAAATCCTTCCTGCCATATCCCTCACCTCAGAGCTTCCCCCTCCACCCCACGTCCCTCTGAGTCCCCTCAACCCCCTCCAATATTCCCCTGAGTACCTCAAATCTCCCCCATTCTTCTCTTAGTCTCTCAGATTCCCCCACATCCCTCAGAATCTCCTCCAATTGCCCCCCCCCCCCCCCCCGTCACATTCCTGAGTCCCCTTCCCAAGGTCCACATTCCTCAGAGACTCTCCCCACCATATCCCTTAGAGTCCTCTCCAAATCTCTCCCCACCAATCCTTCATCTCAGGGCTCCCCACCCCTCCACATCCTTCAGTGTCCCTTCAAATCTTCCTAACATCCCCTCACCAAACTCCTTATCCCTCACCTCAGGGTCTTCCCCCATCCCTCAGAGTCTTCCCCAACCCCTGCATACCCCTGAGACCCCTCAGAATCCCCCAAATCCCCCTCATATCCCCCCCACGTCCATGAGACTGCTCCAAGGCACTCCCACATCCCACAGAGATCCCCCCTATATCTCTCAGAGTCTCCTTAATCCCTGCAGTCTCCGCACAATCCCCCCACCAGGTCCCTTCATGATCCCCTCAGCCCCTCACCTCAGGAGTTCCCACATCCCATATCCCTCAGAGTCCCCTCAATCGCCCCGCTATCCCTCCCAACACCCCAAGTCCCCTACAGTCCATCAGCCCCTCACCTCACGGCTTCTCACACCCAACACCCCTCACAGTGCCCTCAAATCACCCCAGTATCCCCTCACAGCCCCCCACCCCCTCAGCCCCTCACCTCAGGGCTCTGCACGGCCCACATCCCCCATGGCACCCCTCCCAAAACCCCAAATCCCCTCACGATCTCCTCAGCCCCGCACCTCAGGGCGCTCCCCGCCCCGCTCAGCCCCGCCTCCCCTCACCCGCTCTCAGGACGGGCCGGTGAGCGAAGCCGTTATCCAGCAGTGCCGCCAGCCAGCCGGTCAGCCCCAACCACACCGAGCCCTTGTTCACGAGGGGCGGCGGCGGCAGCGAACGGGCCTCGTCCGGGAGGAAGAACGGCATGGCGGCGGCGGCGCCCAGAGGTGACCGCGCGGTGCGGCGCTGCCCGCGTCCGCCGCTCGCGGAGCCCCGAAGACGAGTTCCGCTCAGAGCGGGGCGGGTCCGCCTCTGCTGCCGGGGTGCCGGCGGCAGAACGAAGGGATGGCAGCAGGGGAGGGGCAGGCTGGTGGTACGGTACATTTCTGCTCCAGAAGATTCACGGAGGGGCGGTGGTGCCCCATCCGTGAGTCACCAAGGGCAGAGCGGACGGGCCGCGAGCACTGATGGAGCTGCGGTGTCCCGGTGCACCGCAGGGGAGGAGGAACAGATGGCCGTAAGGGTCCCGTCCAACCTAAAGCACTCTATGATTGCCTTGCGCTGTAAACGGTGGCACAGGCTCATTTCAGAGATGTGCCTACAGAAGCGAATCAGGGTACAGCAAAACTTTTTGAGAATATGGCCACGAAGATGATCGGGGGACTGCAGCACCTCCCCTGTGAGGACAGGCTGAGGGAGCTGGGCTTGTTGAGCCTGGAGAAAAGAAAGCTTTGGGGCGACCTCATTGCAGCATTTCAGTAGCTAAACTGAGCCTACGAACAGGAGTGGAATCAACTCTCTGAAAGGGTAGATAACAGCAGGACAAGGGGAAATGAAGTTGAGGCAGGGGAGATTTAGGTTGGATGTCAGGGGGAAATTCTTTACAGAGTGGTGAGGTGCTGGAACAGCTGCCCAGGGAGGTTGTGGATGCCCCATCCATCCCTGGAGGTGTTCAAGGTCAGGTTGGATGGAGCCTGGGCAGCCTGGTCTAGTATTAAATGTGGAGGTTGGTGGCCCTGTATGTGGCAGGGAGGGTGGGAGACTCATGGTCCTTGAGGTCCCTTCCAAGTGTGACCATTCTGCGATTCTGTGATCACAAAGCAACTAATGCAGCCACAGGAATCAGGACAAGCTCCCAGCTGGACAGTGCATCCCTTATGGTGTGCGTGCCCTCCAAAAACATGAAGGAAGGCTCAGAACAAAAATACCAAGCTTTTATTTACACATTCCGCAGTACACTGTGGCAATGCTCACCTCCATACAGCAATGATCTTTTGTATCTTAATAAAAATAGAATGGCAAATTACCAAGAGTAATGTGAAAGTCAGGCAGGTTTTGCTCAGGACAGAAGTCTGGACCTCTCACAGTCAGTACAAATACAGAGTTTTTTGCATTATGCTGCATCTCGCTGGGCCACGTCGCTGTGATGAGCGTTACCAAGCAGAGGTATCGTAGTTGGACAGTACAGAAGTGGAAGAAACTTCCCTCATGGAGACAATACACATTCAGCCAGTAAGACAGCGTATGTCCTTATGACAACCCCTCACAGTGCTTGATAAATCTCAAAGGGATAAGTTGGGATGGCTCCCACCAACGTGATGTTACTCAGCCTTCTGTCTAATTGAAGTTCTTTCCAACAAGACAGAGACATAAAGTTTCAGCCACACGTATGTGATGCCCAGAGCACAGTAAACAGAGGTCAGCAACAGGGGGATAAAAGGAAACCGCAGTTTCCAAGGGGTCAGAGGAAATACAATTTCACAGAAGATTTCCAAAGGCACCAGATGGATGAGGTAGATTGTTTCAAGCCAGCTAAGGAGAGGCTTTTCCTTCCTGTCAGAAAGAATTAAAAAAAGTGTTAAAATACTCACTGTTACTAAAAATAACCATTCCTCTTTCCAGCTACCACTGGTGACACATAACCAGTGCAGAGAATGTCACCCACTCGCTCATAGGAGGGCTTTAAGTAACAATTAGATCTTCTGAGCTTTCAGTACAAAAACATGCAGTACAGCTAATTCCCTTATCATGTTTTTGTACCTGCTTCCAAGGTGCCTTTGTTCAGTAGAAATGGATCTAAGTTTAAAAAAAAACTTCAGCAGCTCCTTTACCTCACACCAAAGAACCAAACAGATTTCTGTTCTTCCTACACATTTGTTCCACAGCAGTTCCTTAGATCTAAACACTGGAAACATCAGTTTTTAAATCACGACCACTGCCCCCTCCCCACAAGCCTTCTATAACAAGTATGAATATGTTTCTTGCAAAGGACGCTGGCTGCACTTGGACTGCAAGCAGTTTACAAGCTACATTTGTTTTTTCTGGAAGGAATTTGTTTTTTTGCAAAGTTAGGAACAAGAAATTTGCAAAAGCCTAAGCTCTAGACAGAGCTCCTACAGAGGAACTGAAGCACTTGAGAAGGAATTAGTGGATTCCACAATAGTAAGGGGGGGGAAAAAAAATGCAGCCTGGTTGAAAATGGATGACCTTCAAAAAGCAGGTGACTGATGTAGTGAATGCAGATTTCTGGCATTTCCAACAGATCCTTCATTACAACTTGGCTTTGCCATGAAAAGTTCAGGAAACAGCAACATGATGGCTACAGGATTCATAAATACAGTGCCTGTCATTGACTGAGTGGGCAGCAAGCAGATCAGTGTCCCATGAACACACACTGGACAATTCAGACAGTCCACAACCAAGTTACAAGTTGTAGAAATATGCTATTCATAACCTGTGCCTTATAAACATGGAAGTACTAAGCACCACTGGTTAAGCACAGCAGTATTTTTAACTACTGGCACTCTGGTAAGCACTCTAACACAGAATTAAATCCTAGTAAAGATTGTTGTTGTACCTTTATGCACATCTGAGGAGGCTGGGATTTACCATCTGAGAGCAGTCTGTTCAAACATCACAAGGATGTTCTATAGAAGTCCTATCTTAAGCCTTTCCTCCTGAGGAAGGAGACATCACTGTAACACTTAAATTAAACTCTTCAGCATCAGCTTGCTGTGCTGTTTGTCTCCTGTTATGACACTGTTTCCCTAACAGAAGTAGTTTCATTCTTTGTTTCAAAATGAAGTCTGTTTTTATTACCTGTACAGCGATTTCAGTGAAGAGAAGCTATAAACGCTGAACAGCAGCATAAGCAGTATTTTAATTGGAAGTTCTGAAATACAGAAGAACACAATATATGTTTTAAATAAATTCTAAACAAGCTTGTGCCACGTACACTGCAGCATCCTGAAGTGCTAGTATTCAAGCTCGTGTTGCCCATATAAATTATTCTATCCAAGCTGAGCAAAACGATTTATAGCTTAGGACACGAAAAGATAGGCATAATATACTTACTAAGAAACATGCCAAGCATTACAACACAATGAATGCATACTGAACACAACTAGAATTACAAAACATATGGCAGTAATACAAACAAATTTTACTGGCAAGATTTACAGAATTACTGGCAAGTTTCAAACAGACGAGTCACTGCTATCCAGGCTGTGCACTGGACAACTGTTAGTTAATAGAGAGTGCAAAGGAAGTTTCTAATGTCTCAATGCAACAGCCTCTCTACTGCACATAAACAGCATTACCTGACCAAAAGGAGAGCATCTGGATTTGAACTCTGTCAGATCTACAGCCAATCATTATACTAGTGGTTACACTGCTGTCATAGCTCTGCTTATTTCACTTAAGCCTTAGCACATCTGATTAATCAAAGGCAGGGTGAAGAAGGTTGGAACAAGCATCCATTTACAAGAACAAGTCTATCCCCACACATACTGATTTAATTGATGCTGCTGCAGGAATTTTAATTTATTTAATTGATGCACTAAGCAACAGTCAGCTGGAAAAGTCAGCTGGAGAACAGCCCACCAGGTTTGCGGTCTCCAATCGTCTTTGTCACTTTTGTTTGGCAGGGCTGTGTTAGGCAAAGGGAAGTTTCTCCAAATGTAACATAGTGAGGGATAACAAATACTGGCCATGATGATTTCCCATTTCTACTTCAATCTGGAGCCTAGGGCTCTTCTGCAGCATTGTTTATCTTTTTAAGACACACAGTCTACTGCAATTTTCAGCTTATAACAAAATAATCCAAGGAAGACACTTTACCTGGTGCTGTGAACAGCAATGGAAAAAGTGAGAAATGCCCTGTGGTTGTGAGAATCAAGTAGATGCCAGCATCCTTTGCTCTCTGAACAGACAGCAAGCTAAAATTGACAAGAATTCATATTACCCAGTCTTTTAGTAAATTCAGCAAAACACTACACAAGTCACAGAAGAGACTTAAGAAAACCGGTCACATAGAGCTCCATAGCACCCCAGTCCTCCCAGATTCAAACCTGTGATGGAATTTCTTGCTTCCAAGCCAGCTAGCTTCACAAAAATGAGGAAGTCAGCAAGGAAACCCCACCACAGAAAACCCTTATCTTCCTTTCCCCAATATTTCCAGTTTTGCAACAGAGTTGTGCACACAGGTAGCAATATTTTCCAAATTGTGCTGATTTCACATATCAAAACTGGCGCTGGGTTAGGATCCTCTTTTGAGGATTCCTCAGCAAGTGGCAGCAGGTTCAGTTTGACCAACTACCACACAGGGAACTCACTTACCTTAAAGGCAGAATAGCAAGGAGTATTGCTTTTTCATGCACGTGCCAGCCAAACATGAAGGAGCTCAATGCACAAAGAACAAGGCACTGAAGAAAGCCTCTGGGCCCTTGAGGTTTAAACCAAAGACAGAAAACAGAGGGCTAGAAACAACAGGCAAAAACAGGACTTCAGTGAAGTTTTGCAATTCTGAATACAAGCCATTGTCCAAAAGCTTTTCAACATTACACAACTGTGATTATATGGCACAAGAATCCTACAGTACTGGAGGAACAGAATCTACTTTGATGCAGTTTCTGGATATAGAACCTGAACAACTTCAGCATGCTTTTTCCCCTCATTCCATATATTGATAAAAACTCCAATCGCACAGGAAACTCCGCCATCACTTTTGAGCCAAGGCTGCTAAGCTTTTGATATAGAAGTTACTGCCCACTAGTGTTGAAACAAAGTATTCCAGTTAAAGGCTCATGAGAGTTGAAAACTCTGTAGGCAGTTCATTACTTATTGAACCTTCAACTCTTTCCCTGCAAGCATGATGTTCTTTACATGACATGCAGGTCACACTGTCAGGAACTCAGCAAGCTGCCCACAACACTCCATCAGCATCTCTGCTCAAATCCTACTTCAGCTGCCTTCTATCACACAACATACACAGAGTGTAAGACTGCCTTTGATCTCTCAGCTGTTCTAGACAGATCATAATCTTACCCATAATTGAATAATATTGCATATAAAAAAAGATATTAACTTCATGTTTGCCCTAGTAATTTATAACTAATAATTTAATGAAGTGTGTTTTTGCCCTGGAATGAAAATTTATGTGAAGTGCATGTTAATCAAACAAAAACCACTGGGGACATAACACATTTCCAAAGCCATCATTTCTTCTTACCAATATTGATATGAAACTACAGATTAATGTTGCCAGTGGAGTCACAGAAGGAAGAACAGTATGCTGAAATTCTTGAACCAGTCCTCCTGTCATTGAGGCTTTAGGAATTTTTGTAGGATCAAGAAAGTTATACTTCAAGCCTGAAAACAAAGTACAAATTGATTATTAATAAAGAAAACAAAGCAGCTGCAAAACTGAACTAAAACCAAACTGTTCTGTAGAACAGGATTGAAGTATATGGATAAGATTGTTTGTTTAAAAAAAGATAAGAGAGGGAAGACTGATTTCAGATCTCTCATTGGAAACATGACATGGAATGAGTTACATGGATCATCAGCTGATTTCAGGCAAACTGAAAATGTAATTTGCTACCTGCATAGGGAAGGAGGACTAAAATTCAGTGAGCACGACCTTCAAAGTAGCAAGATTTGCATACTTTACCAACAACTGTGAGTGCTTTATCCACAGCACTGTACAAAGCCCAGAAGTTAGGGGCCCAATAAGCATGGCAGAGGCCTCGCTTGAAAGGAAAAAGGCGTGAAATCACTTGAGGCAGTTGGCCCTACAGGAAAGTAAAAAAATGGAAGAAAATAAATGAGACATAGTTCATATTTTTATACATTTTTCTAACAGTAACAGTACAGCAGGTGGGTTATTACCAATACTATGAAGGGGCCCAATGAAAGGGCAGAAATAAGACAGACAATCAATCCCAGAAGGGTTATACGAAGAAAGCTGAAACTCCTCCACTTCACAGATCCATCTACAAGAAGCAAACAGATTGTGAATGCAGTTACTGTAGCAGGCGGAGAGGCAGACAAAACACCCCATGCTATCAGTGACCTGCTAGCACTAACTACAAGTACAAAGCCCTTGATATCAATATATTCAATTGTTTCCTTGACTCTTCAGTTAATTCAAGTTGTGCAAAGCAATTTATATAGCATTTCCATAGAGGTGAGAAGAGAAGAAGCCAATAGTGCTTTTAGTTTGTTCTAAATTTAAGCACAGAGAGGGCAATCATCAATCATGGTATTTTCTGCCTGTTTGGGTTAAAAGGAGGCTTGTGGACATGGGTTATTGAAGAACATTTACTTTTTCCACATGGCAGCTCCTACATTATACAGCCTTTTGTTTTTCCCCTTTAAAGAAAGGCATCTTCTTTGTTTCACATGAGGAATATAAAACTCTTTATTTCTAAAACAAATGGAAAGGAATCTCAAAGATTCCCAACCCTGTTCTCCATAAGAACCTTCATCTGACCCACAGCCATCCTTTCCAATGGCACCAGCAAGTCTTCCACCTTCCTCATCTCACCAAACACAATCCCCCAAAGAAGTGAGTGCAAAACCCCACCTTACCTGCATTACTTGCAGTAAAGCAATAGGAGCGCAGCAAATAAATGCCATATGCTGGGGCCACATACAAGTAGATGTGTTTGAAATGCAGAAGAACAGCAAAAAGAAGAGCACCTTCCAGATATCTCCTCTAAAGGAAAAAGAATAATAGAAGAAAACCAAAATGCATGCTTTTCTATTTGTCCTCCCTGCACACTAACTTTAAATAGTTCCCAAGCATACTCCTGACAAGACATTTATCAAAAGCATACAAACAAATGGATTTTTACTTCAAGTTATAACCTATATTGTTATGCATAATCAGTGCAGACAAGGAAACTATATTGTCAGATGATACTGAGATAGACCTCACTACCTTGCAGCTTCAGATGTGTTTTTTCTAAGAACTGGTGATCTGGAGATGAGCTGACAGAAAGCCACATCATATTGTTCAAGTGTAACAGAAATCAGCTTTCTCACAGCAAACTGAAATGCTGCAGCATCAGTAAGCAGCTGCAGTGATATTCTCCTCTTACCCTGAGACTCAAGAAATAATTAGACACCCAACTCTGAGCCACACCCATGGGCTACTCCCATTGAAACTAAAAGAGGTCAACTGATGTACCTAGAAGAAATATGCAAAAATAATAGTAATTAAAAAAAAAAACCAACAAAAGAGCAACTTAAGTTTACCTGACATAGTCGGGCAACAGAGAGAAGCATCAGGCCAAACAGAAAGCCATTGTACTGAAAATGAATATCTGAATTTGAGTCAGGAAAGGAATAAAGGAAGCTTTCTCCACAACTATCAGTCTTCTGTATAGGCTCAAACACATAATTAAACTAGAATGGAGCTTAAATTAAGAAAGCAGCCTTAAATACGCTCCACATAGACACAAAGACATTCCTAATCTTAAGTAAGTACACAAGGTCTACTAAACTTACAACGCTACTGGAGTGCAAGGAAACAGAGTAATTTGACTGCATATGTAACATGAAGCATACATCACAAAACAAATAAAAGGTTAATTCTCCACTTTCTGAATTTTTAAATATTAGTTTTTGCCTCACATTGATTAATGGATAGAGATGGTAGTCCTCACTTATCACATGTCACCTGTAAGCACGCAACTCAGACAAGGACAGGGAAGGACAGAACTAGTCCTGCCCACAATAAGGAACGACTGCTGCTTCTTCCTGTTCTCTCTTTAGCTAGATCAATGAACATTATGTCCAAACCGACTGACAGCAATTGGACTTTCTACAGTTATTTTTATATCCAAGGTTGAAGACACCTTGATATCTCCCACACAATATTAATCAGCTCCATAATAGTCATACTTATGGCTTTTTCATGAGTTAAAAAGACCACCAACACAAATAATTCGTTTGGTTTGGAAGGATACGATCCACAATTAACAGCCCAAAGTTCCACAAGAGCAGAACAGCAAGAATAAAGGTTGGTTTTTCCAGAATATCCTTTGCAGCTCGCTTCCCATTCACACATCTGCAGCATCTGAACAATAACAAAAGAAACAGAAGTCTTAGTTGAAACAACAAATAAAAACCTTGTTGCTTTTTGAAGCTGAAAACTGCATTTAAATAAATCTCACTTGGATGGAAGGCAACAATAGAATTCTTGCTAAACTCATCAAGAGGAGTGTCATGAATACACGTGAGTAGGAAAACAGAATTAATAGTCAGAAGCTGCTGTAGCAATTTCCACAAGTTAAAGTTCATTAAGTAACTCTGTCACGGGCTCAAGTCTCATCTACAATAACACCACTACAGGTATCACTGTTTGCTGCCAATTTTGGAACTAAAAGCACTGCATTTCAAGTCATCACCCTTGATCTTTAGCCCTCCCTCTCTCACCAAAACTGGCAGCCGGATGGTCAAAAATATCTTACAATTTCTCATATGAAGTCATATGGTTGACGTGTGTGTTAAGGTTAGATCAGATTAAAAACAATTGTGATCGATTTAGGAGCTGTTGGAGAGCATCCAGAGGAGAGCCACAAAAGTGATCAGAGGGCTGGAGCACCTCCCCTATGAAGACAGGCTGAGGGAGCTGGGCTTGTTCAGCCTGGAGAAGAGAAGGCTGCGGGGTGACCTCATTGCAGCCTTTCAGTACCTAAAGGGAGCCTACAAACAGGAGGGGAGTCAATGCTTTGAAAGGGGAGATAACTGCAGGACAAGGGGAAATGGTTTGAAGTTGAGGGAGGGAAGATTCAGGCTGGATACCAGGGGGAAGTTCTTTACTATGAGAATGGTGAGGTGCTGGAACAGCTGCCCAGAGAGGCTGTGGATACTTCGTCCATCCCTGGAGGTGTTCAAGGCCAGACTGGATGGGGCCCTGGGCAGCCTGGCCTAGGATTAAATGTGGAGGTTGAAGGCCCTCCTGTGCTGGGGGGGGAGTTTGGATCTTGATGATCCTTGATGTCCCTTCCAACCAAAGCCATTCTATGATTTATGCTGTACTGATTTTGGTAGCACCATTCTTCTCTCTTGCAAAGGCAAGGCATGCTGAAAATATAATCTTAATTTTATTAAGTTACACTTGGAGTAATTGGTTTATCATCTAGATACCAAAACCACAGGAGTGACTTAGAATCTTTGATTATACTGGCACTTCATCAGAAGTTTCTTTCATGTCTCTACTCCTTAGGAGCAGAGCAATAATAGGTAAGCTCGACTGATTTTTTTCCTAAGTGAATCCACAACCCCCGCAAAGCAACCCAGTGGCAGAAACAAAACATCAAGAGTGTGTGAAAAGGCTGCTGATACCTTAATATGTAAGAAAATCAATCACATGTACAGCTATAGCATTGCCAAGAAGATCAAAAGTTATCTTGCATCGAGCAGCAGCCTCCATATTTCTCTTTCAAAGCTAAAGCAGCTTTGCTGTTGGATTTTTTTTTTTTTAAACAAGTTTTTATGTATAAATAATGTAGTTGTTACTCAACAATGTAAGAGACTGCCCACTGTCCCTAAAATTAGAACATTAAGACTTACTCACGAACTGCATATATGAAGAGAACATCTGTGAAGATGACAGAAAATCTTTGGAAGAAGACGGTTGCAGGACTGGCGTAATTCAGATTTTCAATAACCAACATCTTAGGGTCAAAGTACTTGGCAATATGTGACAATGCATATTCAAACCAAGCAAAAAAAGGTGGATAATCCAGGGTCCATTCCGAAGTTGCCTAAAGACAAAATGAGATTAACCAATTTAATACAACTTAGGCTGCCTGCAGTCTCTCAAGTACGGTTCATCACAACAAATCAGTTGATCATTTAATCTCAGTAGTCTGCATTTAACAGAGGCTACTTCACAACAAAGTAGCCAGCTGTACGGTGCCGGACACGACTTCAGCTGTTCTGCTGTATACTACTGATAGAGGAATAGGACACCTTTCTATTGGCAGAAGGTTAAACATCATTTTGATAATCTCTACCTAACTCATATAGAATCACCTGCTCCTTAAACCTCAAGTTGGAATAGTGCCAGCATTCAAAAAGATCAACAACGTTTTTTTGCCTACAATAGAGGAATCATCAGCACAGTCTTGTTACATCTTTGCTCTCAATGTACTTTATGGCCCATGACATTAGAGGTGGATGTTGGTGGTATGGCAGTAGAGGAGCAGCCTGACAAAATGGCACCCTGTAGCAAAGGAGTATCACTGAATTCCTCCACGTGGAAAAAAACAAAAAAAGCACCCACTGCCATTCATCAGTGCTTGCTGAATGTTTGTAGAGACCAAACAGATAAAGTCAGAATGCACGTGCAATCTTCTAGCAATAATGTCAAAATAGAAGGTGAGAAATAACACATCACCTCCACAGGTGCAGCTGTCTTCCAAGCACAGACAAAGGCGCTTCACAGAATCACAGAAACACCAAGGTTGGAAAAGACCTACAAGATCATCGAGTCCAACCATCCACCTATCACCAACAGCTCTCACTAAACCATATCCCTCAGCACAAAACCCAAACGTTCCTTGAACACCTCCAGAGTTGGTGACTCCACCACCTCCCTGGGCAGCCATTCCAGTGCCTGACCACTCTTTCAGAGAAGAAAAGTAGTATTTCCTCTTGTTCATCAGTGGCAAAGATGCATAGCTAACGGTGGTGATCATGTTGAAAAGCAGTTTTACAGCTGAGAATGTGCTCTATCAGTCAGCAGTATTGTGCTTTTTAGATCTGTTGTAGTTTCCACAGGTGCCCCATCCCTGGAGGTGCCAAAGCCTACACTGGATGGAGCATGGGCAGCCTGAGCTGGTGGGTGACAAACAGCCCACAGCTGGGAGATGGAGCTTGATGATCTTTAGAGTCCCTTCCAACCTATCCCATTCTGTAATTCAAATAAAAAGCATTAAAGTGACCTTCATACCTTCTGAAAAAGAAGGGTTTTCTCCTCTAGCATCAGACAGACATAACCAACACATCTATACATACATGTACAGCTAACAACACCAAGCCAAAGAACCAAACTTAACGCCCAAACTTACTTCATAGTACCAGCGAGACAGAGGCAAGTTGTGCGTGATGGCCAGCCAGTTCCGGTGCACTTCAAAGTCTGTGGAATGACTACAGAAGGTTTGGATTAAGAGACACATTTACACTCAGAGGATAAACACTTCAGAGTACAGCAGTAAAACCAAGCCTGAGCAGTCACACAGAACCTGTACCAAGGACACATGCAGGTAACTGCAGGGCAAGGTAGCTCAGGCTTTTCTTACAATTAATGCTAACGTCCTGGGGTTTTAGTGGCTTCTTTTAAAGCAAATGTAATATTTTTGAGGGGAAAAAAAAGCTGTTTTTCAAAAAACTGAAAAGCGTAACTGCTTCAGCATACTTCAAGACCCTGAAAAACAGCCAGCAGGTACGGGCTGTAAGCACCTCCAGACCCAAAAGCAAAGCCCTTTTATACGTGCAAGAGGACGAGGAGACGGCACCACAACAGCTCAGCAACCAAAGCCCAGACAGAAACGAGAACCGCCCCTCCCACACACCGCCCCATCCCCACCCATGGAAAAGCTGAGAGGCCGTGCCGCTGCTCCCCAGCCCCGAGCAGATCCTTACTACGTGGGGATGAGGAGGCACTTGAGGAAGGAGACGCCGAGCGCCAAAGCGCGAAACCAGCTCCAGCCGCCCGCCGCCATTACGCGCCCCTACAGACGCCCTGCGCATGCGCAGTACCGGCGGCGCAGCCCGCCCGCACGGTTTGAAGCGCGCGGCCCCGCCTCACGCATGCGCAGTAGCGACGTCCCCACCGGCGCCTGCCTCTGACGCAGCGTTGCGTCGGAGCTGGGCGGGGTGGGGGGGAGGCGGCTGTGAGGTGTGGGAGCTCCGTGGGGTTTGGCGTGGTCAGTGCCTGTAAGTTCTGTTCTACGCAGCACCATCCGAACCCGATATCTGACAGCAGTGTCCAAACGCTGCCCTGAGGGTGCAGTGCCCTGGGCAGCCTGTTCCATGCCCGCTGCCCTCTGAATCACAGAATCATAGGATGGCAAGAATTGGAAGGGACTTTAGGGATCATGAATCTCCAACTGCCCTGCCACATGCAGGGCCACCAACCTCCACATTCAACACTAGACCAGGCTGCCCAGGGCCCCATCCAACCTGGCCTTTAAAATCTCCAGGGATGGGGCATTCACAGCCTCTCTGGGCAGCTGTTCCAGCACCTCAATGCTCTCTGTAAAGAACT